ACCGCCAGGGCTACCCTCCGATGGGCGATTGCCACCGTTCTGTAAAGAACAATGTTATTATAAAACTTCCTCTCAAAGTGCGGCTTCATCTGAATAATTTACCATATCACGTATGACTGTTTTTATTTTTTTCAAATTATGCCCCCCGTAAATTGAATAGCGTGAAAACATATAGCCTATAGCGTGCGGGTAGTGTATGGCTTTTTATTAAATAGAGTAATTGTCAATAACATGCTGTGATTGCTGAGGTCCTACTTTACAAAGAAGTGTGTTTGCACATCATTATATGTATTAGTAGTAATAATAATAATAAAGTCATTTAATCCAGATTTAGTATAGATTGGTTAACATATCTTTTGATTACGGTTCACTTTTGTGAAATCCGAAGAAACAAAACACTGAAATATTCAAACAATGGTACTTTCTCTAAATGTGAAGATCAAATGTACAAACTCTTTACGTTACTTAAATATCTATTTGAAATACAATAATAAAACATTATTTACTGCAAGAACTTATACAACAATGACATACCAAAATAAAATTTAACGATATAAACCAAAGTAATTCCCAGAGTAAGGCAACAATAAACAGCAATGAATCAAACTGAATATCAAATAATGATCCAGTTATTCACAAAAACATTCACTTATTTCCTGCAACAAACACCACAACCTCGTACACAATCACGCAATGCACACAGCGATGAGTGTCAGACAAACAAAGCATATTAAGAGATGAGTAAACACTACAAAGATGCGAATGAGTCAATTTCAAGCCCTAATTACGGTGTAGTTCACGGTACTGAACACCAGATACTTCTACCATCATAAAATATTTCTTCAAAAAAAAAACATTTCTTAAATAATAGAATAGTTGACAAACGATCATATTCAGAAAATCTAACATCTTAACATAATTTATACCTTAGGAATGAATAATCCAAGTTTCCTCCCGTAGGCCCTGAGCCGTGGGTTGTGCACCAGCAGCCCGTTGCCCTCCCGCGTCTTCTCACCCCCCTCCGACACTCGGCTCTCCTCCCCCTCCGCCAGTCTGGGCACCTCCTCCTGTCCGTTCCGACTATCTGTATCAATTAAAACAATTTATTAGTAACATTTGTTGTATTCAAGAGTTTTCTACAATATTTATATTCAAACATACAAAACACGTTAGCGAAAATTAACTCAACTCAGCATATACACAGCTAGAAAAAAATAATAAAATCTCACACTAAAACCGCATTTGCTAAATGATTTTTGCTATGAAATGAGACTACATACTATATGATGAACTTGATAAACGGATGCTACTTACGAATCTATAGAAATATCTAAATTAATTATAATATGTTAATAGTATGTACTCTCTAAATATGACGAGTGACTTATGACTTTGAATCGAAATAATCTGAAATTTAACAAAGAGACACCTAAAATGCTATTGCTTACGTCGACCTGAAATTACAACATGGGCAATATTTTGGAAGTTCTAATCTGAAACGGTTCTTTACACAATATTTGCATAGTATAATGAG